CTGCTTAATTATCAAGAAGTTGGGTCTTTTCGGGAAGTGATGGAGAAAATTTGTTTTTCAACTTTATAGGGGCTCGTATTTTGCATATCCGCGAGCTAAAAGCCTCACGTTTCCTGTTGCAGTTTAGACCATAGTTTACATGTCTTTTTTATGAGTGAAATAGATTGTAATAGCTGTGATTTGAATATGGATATGCTTTGTTCTGTATAATTTTTTTTCAGTTACTTTTAAAGCTATGCTGGCGGGACAAGAGAGGTGGGAAAAGTCTAACAATCATAAATTGTTCTTTTTTCTTTGTTTTTTATATTTTACTTTCGACTTTTTTTTTTTTTTTTTGATCAACAAAAAAATTTGACAGGAAAAACAAACAGCAACATATTGGAAGTAACCACAAGTTGCAGTAATCGATTTTCAAAAAGATAAATCATGAAGAGAAAGACAAAATGGCAGAAATTTCTTTGTCCTTTTTTTTTTCTTTACTCTATGCTCTCATGCAGGATTAAAAATGCATCTTTATTATGATGTATTATCATTTCAGTAATTATTATTGGTGCCATTCTATTAGCGACTGGTCAGCGGTTGTTGACGTCAATTTTAACAGGTTTTTAGAACTTCGGTTTTCTATAAGGAAAGACATCAACCAAATTAATAAAAGTCGAAAGAGAATTACGTTTTTTTTATGAATCCTGCCTTTTATAACGGTGAGGTATTTCCAAGTAAATAACTTAGCATAGTTTTTGGTTAAATGAAACTGATAAGTGTGCTTTGGTGTTATTTACAATTTAATATTTTCACTGACGTTTCATCGCTAAATACCGTCATTCACAAAATGCTCATTAGAAGAACATTATTACATAATTATACAATTAAAGAATTTCAGGCTGATTAGTTTTCAGCTGGATTTGTTTCTGTTTCTGTCTTTTTTTAAAAATTATCTGCTTTTAAAGCTTTTACAAACGTTTTTTCTTTGATGGTATCTTGTAGTGGTGTCTGTAGCAATATAGCTGATGACTTCCCAGAGTGTTTGAATATAGGATTACAGTTGATTACTATCAAATTCCCAGTAATTTTCTTTTTCACTTTTATAGCTGATACATCGTTAGCAAAATAAAAACATTTTTTCAAGTTGTCAACATGAAAGAACATTAAATCAAACGTACCAAATTTGTCATTTATGAGTAATAATAAGAACAGCAGATGAGTAGCTAATATCTTCGGTAAGTCATTTATAATAATAACCTTTCACTTTCATTTGTACTTTCTTTAAACAAAATTTATTTACAGTAAAGAACTGACCAATTCACTTAAAAGTCGAAAATGATTTAAGCAGTTCATATAGAACAACCTTTTACTATGCAGAAGGTTTTTATTAGATGTACCACTATTCTATGCAGATTTGTCTGCTGACTTCCCAGAATAAAATTACTTTTCGGATAGAAAATTTTAAACATAATTTCTCCTCTCTTTGTTTCATATTCCTTTATTCCTATTGCCTTTTATTGAAATGAAAAAGTATTTCATTTGTTAAAGAAAGGTGAATTGGTCAGTTCTTTATTGTAAATAGATTTTGCTTTTGCTGTTCGTCTCTACTTTTCTCTGTTTAACTTATTCCAAATGATGTATATATTTTTCTGTGTACTTTTGCTTTCCTGTGTTAATGCTTACTGATGAAAATCGATAAGCGAAAGCATCAATAACGTTATCTACGATTACGACAGTAATAAGCATTTACAGTTCAGGAAAGGGTATTGATGATCAAAACACACTGCAGTTGTTAAGTGGTGGGGATGAATGAAAATAGCAGAAATGTTCTTTTTTTATTTGAACATTCACCTCAGAATAAGCCCTTCAAACTTTTTTCTTTCTTTATTACTCTTAAAGTTCAGCTAAAATGATTAGTTATTGTTAAAGTTGGCTAAATTTTTTAATTTTCCAGTGAATAGAAAATTCAGGGACATTGACTTAGAAATGTTGCTGCATATTTTTAGATTTTGGGTAGGAAATTTTTAGTTTGTAATTACACTAAAATTCGTAACGTTATCACTTTTTAAACTTGGACTTGAATAATGAAAGAAAAAGTGAGTCGGAAATGTGTTCTTTCTTAACATATAAAAAGCAATGAATCATGGCGAGTGTACTAGTTTTGAGGAAAATTTTTTGTACATTTTTTTTTTGTAGAAATAACCTCTAAAAAGTGACGTCAGAAGAACAATTTTTAGCGAAATATTCTTTCTGTTTATTTTTATATTAAATTCTAGTATAATTTTGAAATGGGAAACAATGCTTCCTTATTTTAATTGTTTTTACGCAATTTTGGTTTTCAGCAATAAACATAATTTTATAGATCCAAAGTATAGTTATTTGTGTTTTCGTTTAAAATATCACCACTGACCAGTCTAGTGCACATCAGTCGTCAATTACACTTTTGAAGCCATCAACATTAACGTTTCCATTGACTGGCGGTTCTAGCAAAAAATCTTATGGAACACTTTATTCTTAATTTTATTGCAGTCACCAGGATCAATTTTTAAGGATCAAAACTGTAGACAATTAATTTTTTTATAGGTCTGCACTTTTTATCTGTTTTTCAACTTTCTCTTATTTTAAATTGCTTTTGTCTTTTAAAGAATTTAATTTAATTATTAGCTAAAAACAAGATTTAGCCTAAGTGGCGCAATTTTAAAACTGACTGTCGAAAGCCGTCGTACCTCTTTTTGCTAATTATTACGTATCA